CTAACACATCAAAATGTCATAAGTCAGGAAAAATCAACAAGCGCATTGAGCTAATAACAGTCGACATGCCTTGGGATTCGTGTAAAATACAAGGATTTGGTACATATCAATTCATGAACAATGAAACAAGATGGAGGGTGCTTGGTGAACAGATCAAAGATATTTTCTGTGAAAAGATTGGTGAACCAGTGACAAGCGAGGTATTCCAAGCAGAGATCAAAGTTATTGTTGGAGTATGGCAAGTGAAGAAGCAATAGATCTCGAGGCCAAGGCCATTGATTCAAATCAGGAACGAACAACATGCGCACTGAGTTGGTAACAATTAATATGCTTGGGAGTCCAGGTGAAACACAAAAGTTCGGTAAATGTCAGTACGAGCGGTGCAACAGATAAAGGGTAGTGGGCCTGAACGAGAAGAGGTATTTTCCGGGTCAAGGCTTACAAAGGAAGTGGTTAGTCAAGGAATGAGTAAGGTCGTCGAACGGAAACCAAAATGAAGGAGCAACAGACCTCAAGGCCGAAGCCAGTGGTTAAGTCAAGAAAGAACAGCGTATACACAGAGTGGGGGTAATGGACGTGCTTTGGGATTCATGCGAGACACAAAGGTTGGGTAGATGCCAGTTCATGAGCAATGCAACAGATAGAGGGTGTTGGGTCTGAATGGAGAAGAGGTATTTCCAATGGTAAAGATGACAGAGGAAAGTGGTTAGTCATCAAACAAGCAAGGTCTTCAAATGGAATCAGCGATCATGGGAAGAAAAGGAGCAATCCCCCTCAAAGTTCAAGGCCACAAACCGACCACCACATTTTAAACTGACAAGATTTTTCTTTGATTGAAACAGGGGCATATAGTTTTCGTTGGTTTCGGAGAAACCCTCCTTAGGGAAAAAGCAAGCACCAAAACAGGTTTGACCATAAATTCTCAGGGCCCTCCTGAAAAATGGGACTTAGTTTAAATTTCAAAACAATCCTGAGTAGCATAATTTAGCATAAATAGGAATATAAGTTGGTTTCAAAGTTTGCACGTTTAAGATATGATTCAATTAGGAGTTTTCAGGACCCTCCTGGATAATGGGATGTAACTTTAAAGTTCGTTTCAGATAACAAGATATAGTGGGAGTCGTACCTTCAGTAGATATAATTTAGGTTAAAACTATCTTTTAACTAGAAGTTGTCAGGACCCACCTGGACAATGGGGAGTAGTTTAAGACCTCTTAGACAACAAATGTAGTGGGGGTAATACCTCTAGAGGATATAACTTAGGTTCATAATTATTAGAAGTTGTCAAGACCTCCCTGGATAATAGGACTTAGCTTTCAAATTCTTATAATAGTTGGTAGAATAATTCAGTTTAACACTTACCCATGTACCCAGCTACCAAACTGAGGCAGAAAATTTTCTTTGTTTGTTTATTTTGGTAAAAGTCAGGAGCCCACCTGGAGAACAAGGGAATACTTTTCAAGTTCAGCAATCAGGAGCCCACCTGGAGAACAAGGGAAGTGCAATTCAATTTTAGCTTTTAATTTTTTATATTTGATAACATACTGTACACCAGCCAACAAACTGGGGCAGAAAATTTTCTTTGTTTGTTTTGCAGCAGTCAGGAGCCCACCTGGAGAACAAGGGAATACTCTTCAAGTTTCAGCAGTCAGGAGCCCGCTTGGAGAATAGAGGCATACATTTCAAGTTTCAGCAGTCAGGAGCCCGCCTGAAAAACAGAGGTATTACAATTCAAGTTTCAGCAGTCAGGAGCCCACCTGGAGAACAAGGGAAGTACGATTCAAATTTTTAGCTTTTAATTTTTAATATTCGATAACATGCTGTACCCAGTTACCAAACTGGGGCAGAAAATTTTCTTTGTTGTTTATTTTGTTGAAGTCAGGAGCCCGCTTGGAGAACAGAGGCATACGTTTCAAGTTTCAGCAGTCAGGAGCCCGCCTGGAGAATAGAGGCATACACTTCAAGTTTCAGCAGTTAGGAGCCCGCCTGGAGAACAGAGGTATTACAATTCAAGTTTCAGCAGTCAGGAGCCCGCCTGGAGAACAGAGGTATTACAATTCAATTTTTAGTTCTCAAATGCTTGTTAACGTCTGGTAATTTGATGCCTAGTCACCAAACTGGGGCAAGAGATTTTCTTTGTTTTTGTCTATTTTGTTGAAGTCAGGAGCCCGCCTGGAAAACAGAGGCATACATTTCAAGTTTCAGCAATCAGGAGCCCGCTTGAAGAACAGAGGAATACCGTTCAGTACAGCAATTAGGAACCCACCTGGAGAGCAGGGAATACGTTCGAGTCCAGTGGTCAAGCATCACCCGGAGAAAGGAAAACATCTCGAAGTGTAGTCAGCAGTCAGGCAGCCACCCGGAGAAAGGGCAAAACATCTCAGATCACAATTCAAGGCAGCAACAAAAGGATGTCGCCGGGAGATTACAAGACAACAAGGCAACAAGAAATACAAGATCAAGTTTGAAGACATAGATAGGTTTTGTAATTCATAGACCATAGTTTAGTCTAGCTTCTTTTTATTTTGACACGGTGTAATAAGGGGGTTCAGTAAGTAGGAGCAGCAGCAGCAGCAAAAGTGAAACCACAGCTTCATAGTAGTCCCAGCTACCAGACCTTCCCGAACTACACTGACCTGATTCCTTTTTAGCCAAGGATATGTAGGCAACCTCAGAAGCAGGGTGCGGTCAAACTTTTCAAAAATGCTTCACACGGATTAATAAAACAGGCAAAAATCGCTCGTATCCGCTCACTTATCTTTGCACGAAAACTCTTCGTGTTTCCGAGCAAAGAGGGGCAGCTGTGAGCACGTGATTTTTGCCCTATATGAATTACTCCCATAGTTTCAAAACAAAACAGTTTCGTCCACTATTTGCAATTTTGTGGATTTTTGTGGCATTTTATGTTAATTGTTTGCATTTTGTCCGTACATTTTAATTCATATAAAAATACAAAAAATATACATTGCATTTAGGGTTTAAGTTTACATATTTTGGAGTTAATTAGTAATTAGGAATTTTGCAAAAAAAAAATACAAAAAGTCACAAAAATAGTTTATCTTGGCTTTGTTCAATTTGTAGCTTTGAATTCTTGCTAGTTTGATATTTGATTAGTTTGTGATAATTGTTAGAGTTAATTAATTTGACTTGGTAGTTTAATTTAGTTTTCAGAATTAATTGAGGTTTTAGTTTAATTTTAAAATAGGA